CTGGCTACCACTGTCATCCACTTGGAAGGGGATCTATGTAGGAGATCCTTGATAGAGAATGAGAACAATGTGGAATAAAACTCAAAATCATTTGGAGGAAAAAAAAAAGGTGGGGACCAGGTTTGCTGGTCCAATAGAGCCTGGTGGAACCACTGAGACTATGGCCCCTAGCTTGAGACTATGGCTCCTAGCTGCCCTTCAGGTCTGGAATTGAACCAACACCTGTGGTTTCCAGCCAAGCAAAATACAAGCATGTGAGTTAAACATTTACCTCAAGTAGATACACACCTTGGAGAAAACAATCATGGGAGAAAGAAGGGCTGCTTATGCACAGGGAGGCAGCTCAGGGGGCAGGAGAGTATGGAGGGATGGACACTGGGAAGAAGTAACTATGGGGAGGAAGTGGGAGGGGAGCTGTTCCATTGTGGTAAACTGTGGTCAATGCCATGAGACAAAGTATATGTGAACTGCTGTATGGAAAGTGAATTTGCTCTGTAAATCTTAACCCAAATCACAATAAAAATAATAATAATAATAAAAAAATTTTAAAAAAAGAAAAGTTGATTAGTTTTTATAGTTTTGTCTTAGGGATCATGTCTGTTATTTTTAAGCAGTTATTTAGCTTCTCTTTTGTTTGACATTGAATAATCTAAAATAACAAATATTTCTTTCAGCTACCATTTATTTGGTACTTACTCTACTTTAATCAGTATACTGTCACTATAGTAAGAACTAGGAATAGCATATGAATAAAATACTGTCTTTTTTTTCCCTCCATCACAGTATGTGATATGCAGAAACTGCAACATTTATGTTGTTTTTGCAAGTTTTAGTAAAAATATATTTTATTACTTTTGATACTGGTTTTAATTTAAATCCTTATTATATGTTTTTTGGATCGATAAGTAGCAATGAAATTGGAGTAGGTAACCTTTTTTGAACCTAGAAAACAACAAAGATTACTTTAACTATTTTGCCTTATGTAAAACTCCCAACTCCAAAGATCATTTGATAGATAACAATATTCTTTTTAGCCATCTTAACAGTTTTCAGTTTTAAACATGGTGAACCAACCTCATGCCTTATTATTCTGTTAGTATTAAATATAATCTAATTGCTAGTATAGTTCAAATCTGATTGGTGTTGAAATCCTAGAAACAAATTTTGCAGGCATCTGGAGAACACATACGTTAAATAAGAGCAGAAAGTTTTGCTTCTTACAATGTATACAAATCTAAGTATAATAGGAGTGGTCAGTGTCTTTGAAAAACTGGCTTGGTTAGGTGGTACCTGAAAGAGTGAGATCCAAGCAGAGTATTACTGGAAGAAGTATTTAGAGGACTATTGCCCAAAACATGTTCTTTTGAGGATATTAATGAGGCAAGAGATAATATTCAGTAGTTCCCAAATTTATTTGACCACAGAACTCTTTTTTTTTTTAATTGTGATTTAGATGAAAATTTACAGAGCAAATTCACTTTCCATACAGCAGTTCACAAATACTTTGTCTTATGACATTGACTGCAATTTCCCACAATGCAACAGCTCCCCTCTCACTTCCTCCCCATTGTTACCTCTTCCCTGTGTCCTTCCCTCCATGCACTCCTGCTCCTGAGTTATGTCCCTGTACATACACAGCCCTTTTATTCTCCCAGGATTGTTTTCTCCAAGGAGTGTATCTACCTAATGTAAATAGTGTTCACCTCATATGCCTGTCATTTGTTTGGCTGGAAGCACAGAGTGGGTTCAATTTCAGACCTAAGGGCAGTCTCTCTCAGACCAGCAAACCTGGTCCCTTTTTTTTTTTTTCCAAATGATTTTGAGTTTTGTTCCACATTGTTCTCCCACTCTATCCAGGATCTCCTATATAGATCCCCCTCTGACTGGTTGACAGTGGTAGCCAGGCACCATCTAGTTCTTCTGGTCTCATAGTCATGTTGGCTGAGGATCGCATGGTGTACCAGTCACTTGGACTGATGGTTTCTATGAATCTCTGGTTTTCTTCATTCTTCTTTGCTCTGGATGAGGAGAGACCCACCCAACGTTGTATGTAGATGGCTGCTTGCAAGGTTTTAAGATCCCAGTCGCTGATTGCCAAAGTAGGAAGTGGAACAATGTTTTGTGTAGTAAGTTATGCCAGTTGAGCTTGATGTCCCCTGTGAGTATGGTCCTGAGCCCACAGGTCCACCTACTCACTCCCTCTGGGTAGCTGGCTGTGCCCAAGAAGTAACTACAACCTTGTCCCTTGTCAGCTCTGCTATACACCTGGAAATTCTTACGGAACAAAGTAATACACTTGTGGAACCATTGTCTGCCAGCCATATACATGGTGTTGGGCACACTCCCCCTTGCATAGACATACCTAATAATTCAGCCTGTCCACCCATCTATCCACCCATATATCTATGTTTGCCTTCACTGACAACACAGTACTGTATGTGCATAATGGTTCATCTTTGTTGTCTGTACCTCCCATGTACCTCTATGTCTTCCTCTTCTTCAGTGCCACCATGTTGATCACTCACATTTGGTACATTGCCCTTCTCTTCACCCAAATCAATACGTGTCTCTACCTGTCTAACAGTGTTCCCCCCTTTTCCCTCTTACCTCTGGTAGCTAACTGTGGTAGTTATGTTTGTATGTCAGCTTGGCTGGGCCTGGTTGAGTGGCTGGGCAGCTGGTGGTAGTTATTCCCCATGATGAGACTGGCAGTCAACTCCATGGTGGGATCTACTACAGGCAGCTGAGTAGCTGCCTTTGGGATGTGGTCTGCTTCCTGTATATAAGGAGAAGCCTTGGGGATAGTCTCTAGTCTATTGCATGCTTGAACGCGGCATATAGCCATGTTGTTGCTCAGCAACCTGCCATGCTCTACCGACCTTGGGACTTACAATGGACTTAAATTAACAGTCTGCCATGTGGTTTGGTAGCATCGGGACTGTGCCTTTTTACTTGTCAACCTTGGGCTTCTCAGCCTCAGCAGCCAGCAGCTGTCTGAGTGAAGAAACGCCTCTAGCTTCAGTGGATCGGGAGCAGGAGGCATAGCTGGACCCCAAGGTTGAGGGGCTTTCACCCAGCCCTTAGAGCCTGACACTTAGAACTCGGAATTCTAGCCTCCTAAACTGTAAGAATAAACTCCTGTTTGTTAAAGCTATCACATTTGTGGTATATTTCTATCAGAGCGGCACTAGGTAACCAGAACACCAACAAAGAAAATTTCCTTCCATGTATAAATCTTTCCTTGACTTTTTACAATAATGGACTGGTACCATATTTATCCTCTGTGATTGACTTACTTCACTCAGCATAACGTCCTCCAAGTTCATCCATGTTATTCTTTAGGGTCGCATAGTACTCCATTGTATGTATGTACCATAGTTTGGTTATCCGTTCTTCAGTTGATGGACACCTAGGTTGTTAACATCTTTTGGCTGTTAGCAATAGTGCTGCAATGAACATGGGTGTGCATATGTCTGTTCTTATCTTGGCTGTCACTTCTTTAGGATATATACCAGTAATGGGATGGCTGGGTCAAATGGTATTTCTAATTCCCCCTTTTTAAGGAATCACCATATTGCTTTCCACAGTGGTTGTACCATTTTACAGTTCCACCAGCAGTGCATGAGAGTTCCAGTCTCTCCACATCCTCACCAGCATTTGTTATTTTCTGTCTTGTTGAACTTTGCTAGTAGTGCTGGGGCAAGATGGTATCTCATTTTTGTTTTGATTTGCATTTCTCTCTAATGGCTAATGATCGTGAGCATTTCTTCATATGTTTGTTGGCCGCCTGAATGCTCTCTTTGGTGAAGTGTCTATTCATGTCTTCTGCCCATTTTTAACTCGGATTATTTGTCTTTCTGTTGTTGAGGTATTGGTGTTTTCTATAAATTCTAGAGATAAGTCCCTTGTCAGATATGTCATTGCCAAATTTTTTTTCCCAATCTGTAGGTTTTTCCCAGTCTTTAGAAGTCTTTGGAAGCACATAAACATTTAATTTTTAAAAGGTCCCATTCATCTAGTTTCCACAGAACTCTACTTATGGGAGCTTTCTCAGAGTTCTCCTATTCTACCAAAGGCATTTGGAGAAATGCTGGTTTAGAAAATGTGCTCAGCTACCATCTATGTGGCTGGAAATTCAGATGATTCTTTACCTGGGAGATTTTGTGCTTCGCTGATTGTCGGCTTTAATAATTCACCTATATAATGTTCTTCTTGTAACTTTTTAAAGGTTGTTTTGTAGACAAGGAAAATAAGTTCTAATAAAAACAACTAGTAAAGATGAAAGTCTCTTCCCAAGAAGATGGATGGGTTAAAAACAAATAGTTTGAAGAATCATTTAGATAAAATAACGATTTAAGACTTTTTTGTGGTAGTTAAGCTGGCACATTTTTTGTAATGGTCTAAATTGTCCCTTATATGTGTATCAAATTTGCCAGTCCAGTGATGTAGCATCGTCTCTTTAGGAATTTGTGGTTAATCAATTTTAGCTGTAAGAAACATCTTTCTGCTTTGAATATATTATAACACTGTTTCTAAAATACTCTTTTTTAGCAAGGTTGAGCTTGCGCTGACATCTGATGGCAGGACCATTGTATGCTACCATCCTTCTGTGGACATTCCATATGAACACACAAAAGTACGTATGAGAAAATAGCTTCTTTTAAATTTGCTGTTAGAAATGTTTACACTTACTTACGGTATCCAAAGAGATTTCCTTTATTTGGCTTAGATCTTCTTTTGCCTTTTTTATTTTACAGTTTGAATTTTTCTCTTATTTATTTTTTCATCTTTTCTTTTTAAAGGCTTTATTGAGTATACAAAGCAAACCATTTAAACACAATTATGAGCACCAGTTTTCTGGTCTAAAAATCTGGTAGAACTTACAAAATGCATTATCCCATTTTATCCATATTATAATCTAATACATTATTTAAAAAAAAAAACTAAAAGAAAAAAACAACCTTACATTTCAGAGTGCTTTTCATAACTTTTGCATTATTGGCGCTGATGATCCTTTTAATGTTTATGAATATTTTTGTTGTTATTACTTTTTTCTAATGGACCAGCATGTGTATATATTTTAAGTGTACTGATTTATTTATTTTTCTGTATTTCTTCAAAACTCAGGACACTAGATAGAAAAGGTTTTATTTTATTTTTAATACAGTTTATTTTAGTTTGAAGTTTTTTTTATTATTTTATATTCTAAACTCTCTGCTATTTCTTTAAGCTTTTTTCCTACTGTATTTGGTAATGTTTGATTTGCTTTTTGAGGAGAAGAATAGATAATTCAAATCATCATATGGTGCATCTCTAGTGATACCTAGTGTTAAAAATTATCATTAAGGGGCAGACCCATTGCCCAAAACCAAACCCACTGCCATTGAATCGATTCCAACTCATAGTAACCCCATCGGACAGAATAAAACTGCCTCATGGACTTTCCAAGGCTGGAAATATTTACAGAAGCAGACTGCCTCATCTTTCTCCTATGGAACAGCTGGTGGGTTCGAACTGTTGACCTTTTGCTTGGCAGCCGAATGCCTTAACCACTTTGCCACCAGAGCTCCTTTAGGGGCCAGTTGTTGTTGTTGTTATGTGCCATCGAGTCAGACCCAACTCATAACGACCCCTCCTTGGGTTTCCGAGGCAGTATCACTACGGAAGTAGATTGCCCCATCTTCCTTCCGTTAGGGGCCAGAGTTCTCGTTAATTTGACAAACTAGATAAATGTTCTTTTGCTAATTTTCATTGTCCTTTTTAACCTTACCATTTTGCCTGCCTTTTTATATTTCAGCACTAATCTAATCCCTGTTTTGCTTCATTTCTTTGGGCAATATGTAGAAAAATAGGCCTCAGTTCCTGACTTTGGGCCTGTAAACATTTTAGCAACCTCTATATTGTGCCTTTTTCTCTGGTTATAAGCTTTATCCCTGTTTCAAGAAGGACTGAAACCAAGAAGCGCCTGGTGGCAACTGCCTGGTCATTTCTCAGTATCCAGACTCTCATTCCCATGTGGTTCTTTACATCCTTGAATCTCTTACTTCTGCTACCCCTCTGAACTCTCAAAACTTTCCCACTGTACCATTTAGAATTTACTATCATTGATGAGTAAAATCTCTTTAACAGAAACTTGGCTGTACCCTGAAGGCGTTGCTTCCCCAGTCCTGTTAAGTAGTTGCTGTTTTCTTGACCATAATCTTCTTATCCCAGAGGTGGAGTATGTATCCTTTTAGCTCCTCCTTGTCACTTCCAGACTAATTTCCCTTCTCCCTAGACATTTATAGCTCTGTAGCTTATATCAGTGAACTATGTCACCTGCTTTCTTTCTTTGTTGCTGTCCTATACCAACTCCCAGGTCATTTATCCTCCCCTACCCCTTCATGTAGGAGCTGGTGGCATAGTGCCTAAGGCATTTGACCGCTAACCAGAAGGCTAGCGGTTCAAAGCCACCAGCCACTCCTCGGAAGGAAGATTGGGCAATCTACTTCCATAGAGATACTTACTACCTCAGAAACCCAAGGGGGGTTGCTGTGAGTTGGATCCGACATGGTGGCAGTGAGTTTGGTTTTTGTTTTTACCCCTTCATGCAAAGACTTGGAGTTAGAAAACCAAAAGGGAGGAACACGCTCAGTATTTCTCCAGCTGAAAGAACTAAAGAAAAAATTGAAGCCTCAAGTTGCAATATTGAAAGATTCTATAGGCAGAGAGAGCTCTGGTGGCGTAGTGCATAAACCATTTGACTGCTAACTAGAAGGCTGGCACTTCAAACTCATCAGCCACTCCTCGGAAGGAAGATGGAGCAATCTACTTCGATAGAGATACCACTTTGGAAATCCAAGGAGGGGTCACTATGAGTCAGAATTGACTCAATGGCAGTGAGTTTGGTTTTCCCTTTTTTTCATAGGTAAAATACTGAATGATGCAGGAAACATTAAAAGAAGATGGAAAGAATACACAGAGTCACTGTACCAAAAAGAATTGGTCAATATTTATCCATTTCATGATGTCATATATGATCAAGAACCAATGGTATTGAAGGAAGAAGTTGAAGCTACACTGAAGGAATTGGCAAAGAACAAGGCTCTAGAAATTGATGGAATACCCACTGAGATATTTCAAAAAATGAGGCACTTAGTAGTTTATGCCAAAAAATTTGGAAGGTAACAACCTGACCAACTGACTGGAAGAGATCCATATTTGTACCCATTCCAAAGAAAGATGATCCCACAGAATATGGAAATTATTGAACAATATCAATGATAGCACATGCAAGTAAAGTCTTATTGAAGATAATTCAAATATGGTTGCAGCAGTATATTGACAGAGAGCTTCCAGAAATGCAAGCTGGATTCAGAAGAGGACGTGGAACGAGGAATATTCATTACTCATGTCAGATGGATCTTGACTGAAAGTAAAGAATTCTGGAAAGATGTTTACTTGTGTTTTGTTGACTATGCAAAAATATTCGATTGTGTGGAATTATAACAAATTACAGATAACCTTGAGAAGAATGGGAATTCCAGAACACTTGATTGTGGCATCAGGAACCTTTACATAGACCAGGAGGCTATCGTTCAGACGGAACAAGGGGATACTGCATGGTTTAAAATCAGGAAGGGAGTGCGTCAGGACTGTATCCTTTCACCATACTTACTGAATCTGTATGTTGAGCAAATAATCAGAGAAGCTGGACTATATGAAGAAGAATGTGGCATCAGGATTGGAGGAAGACTCATTAACAACTTGCGATGTGTCGACAGCACAACTTTGCTTGCTGAAAGTGAGGATGACTTGAAGCACTTACTGATGAAGATCAAAGACTATACAGACTGTCAACATAAAGAAGACAAAAATCCTCACAACTGGACCAATAACCAGCATCACAATAAATGGAGAAAACAATGAAGTTGTCAAAGATTTCATATTTGGTTCTACAATCTACGCCAATGGAAGCAGCAGTCAAGACATCAGACAACATATTGCACTGGGCAAATCTGCTGCAAAAGACCTTTTTAAAGTGCTGAAGAGCAAAGATGTGTCTTTGAAGACTAAGGTGTACCTAACCCAAGCCATAGTATTTTCAGTTGCCTCATATATCTATGAAAGCTGGACAATGAATAAGGAAGACTGAAGAAGACTTGATGCTTTTGAGTTACGGAGTTGGTGAAGAATACTGAAAGTACCATGGACTTCCAGAAGAACTAACAAAACTGCCCTGGAAGAAGTGTAGCGGGAATGCTCCTTGGAAGTGAGAATGACCAGACTTCATCTTAACTACAATGGTCATGTTGTCAGAAGGAACCGTTCCCTGGAGAAAGATATCATACTTGATAAAGTGGAGGGTCAGCGAAAAAGGGGAAGGCCCTCAGGAAGATGGATTGACACAGTGACTGCAATGATGGGCTCAGGTATAGCAAGAATTGTGAGACTGGCTCAGGACCAGGCAGGGTTTCATTCTGTTGTACACAGGATGGCTATCAGTTGGAGTTGACTTGATGGCACCTGACAACAACAACAACCCTTCTGTTCTTCCCAGAAGATTTTAGACTTGTCACTCTCCAACTCTGTATCTGTCCTAATTTCTTTGTTATTTTATTATCCATGTAGATGACCTGTCTACTACCCTGACTTTTCACTTCCTGGTCTTGATTCCCTACATCAGCCATCCTCTCTCAAGGTCATACCTTAGAAACTTTGTCATTACCTGGATCTGCTCTTCCTTTCTCCCAACCTAAATTTCAAGAATTCTACTAGCTAACTACCCCTAGTCTGCCAGTTCCAAGAATTCATCCCTTCATTGGGATTTTCATTTATTGATCCAACAACTTTTTCACAGTCACTCATCTGTCTTATACATTCTTACCTCTCTGTTCACTCAGCTTAGGTTCCATAGTCTATACTCGCTCTTGCATATATAGCCAACTTTCCTGCCACCTCTTTCTTTGTAGCTCTCCTATTGTAGCAATTGTCTCCTTTCCCACATCATTGGTATTCCTCTCTGTAGTCTATAGGATCATTCCTCTGAGTTTACTCATTCCACTGTCCACACACTGGCTGCCTTGCTGTTCTTCAAATCCATTAGGCAGGCTTCTGCCTCAGGGCCATTGTATTTCCTATTTCCTGTGTCTGGAATGCTTTTTTCTACCACGAATCCCCATAGGTGGCTCCCTTACCTCTTTTAAGTCCTTCTTCTTTTATCATCTAGTGAGGCCTCTCTTCGCCACTCCATTTAAAGTTGTATCCCGACCTTTGTACTCCTTATTCTTCCTGTCTTTAGTTTTCTTAATTGTATTTATCATTTCTGGCATATTGTGTGTGTATATATATATTATATATATATATATATATTTTACTTTCTGTCTGTTTCCTACCACTAAAATGTAAGTGCTACGAGGGACAGGGCCGTTCTGTTCCCTGCTGTATCCTCAGCATCTGGAATAACACCTTGTACGTGAGAGCAATCAGTATTTGTTGATTAAATGAAAACATTTGTTCCTCCTCCTTCTGTGTTAAGTCAAATGCCTTAGGCACTACACCACTAGAGCTCCCATTAAAAGTGCCCTGGTGGCAAAGTGGTTAAAGTGCTCAGTTGCTGAGAAGTTGACAGTTCGAACCCTCCAGCTACTCTGTAGGACAAAGTTTGGCACTCTGCTTCTGTAAAGATTATAGCCTTGAAAACCCTACGGGGCAGTTCTATTCTGTCTTGTAGGGTTGCTATGAGTCTGAATTGACTTGACAGCAATGGGTTTGGCTTTGTTTTCTTCTGTGTGAGGGTTAAGAAACATTCACATGGGGAAGCATGGAAGTTTTTGTTTCACAAGCAGCAGGTTGTAGATTAGAAATGTATGACAGTTTTGAAAACATGTTACTATTA